CCCAGAAAATACTCCAGTATATTATGCTGGAGTTCCAGCATAAGTATACTTGAACTCCAGCATATTATACTGGAGTTCCAGGATAGTATGCTGGAACTCCAGCATAATATGATGGAGTTCCAGCATAAATACACTAGAACTCCAGCATAATATACTGGAGTTCCAGCAAGTATAATGGTCCAGTATAATATACTGGAGTTTGGAGCACCAGTGCTCCAGTCTCCAGTATATTATACTGGAGCCAGCAAAGTATACCGGTCCAGCATAATATGCTGGAGTTCATACACAAGTGCACCGAACTCCAGTATATTATGCTGGACCGGTCTATTGCAGCAAAACGGTGGCTATTTTTCATTGACTTGGTAAACGCAGGCTATTTTTGATTGACCAGTCCGAAAACTGGCTATACCGTGAAATTTTGGCAGTAATATTTGGATTATAATTGGGATAAAAGAAGTGGGCCTAAGCCCACATCTTATGTTACCACACATTTCAAGACTTAGAAAGGTAAATAGGGGAATATTAATTCCTTGGTTCATTAGGAGATAACAATATATATGGAGAAGAACAAGGGAACTGTGGCGGCACTGTGGAGAATAGCAGGGATTGACTAATCTTTATTTTGGATACTTTTTAGTGGAATATTGTGGAAGAAAAGAACTATATAATCGGGTACTTTTATAAATTTTAGTACAAAGATAACATGATATTGAACTTCGAAGAGAGTAGTTGTATATGTACCCACATAATATAATGACATGCCAATGATTACAATAATTTTCTAACCTTACTTTTCAAAGTCCACTAAAACGTAGGAATAGCCTTTTTCCTTGATAGATCGGCATTAATTTGATGATAGTGGTGGAAGAGGAAGTGTGGTATTCACTGTTAAGTAGTGCCAAATAAAATAAAATAGTAACTTTCTGGAGCAAAATCATTTAACTAGGAACATTATTGATTGACTGGGCATATTTAATTTCAAGTAAGTGAAATAAAGTAGATTTGTGTAGTTTTCCTTTCCATCATTTTAGTCCCATTCGATTTAATAGACTAATAATTGAAGGAAATAATAACTGATTACTATTGAACTTGATGTAGCGACAAAGAGGGACTAGTTTGGAGGCAAAGTTATTAGTTGGTTATTCTTGATATTATTATTCTCCTGACGATAGTGTATCGAATGCATTTAATAGCGAATTGAATAGTAATATTGAGAAAAGTTAGCTATAATTTGAAAGTTAGGGACTTTGAGATCCGATCCCCAATTAGCATAATTGACATTGTTAATCAATATTTTGCATAGATTGAGGTCATTTGGAGGCCTTCGGACGTCACAAGATAGAAGAATTTGTCGTTAACGAGGTAAGTGAGACTTTAAGCTTTGGTACTTGCTTTTCTAAAACCCGTTTTAAAAAAATATATTTTCTCTACATGTTCATGTGTTGGGACAAGCGTGCGTTTGGCAGAGTCGGTGGTCTTAGAGTAGCCGCAAATATATTATTTTATGAAAAAAAATATTATTTTATAAGTTGTTTGATAGTTTGATACGGCTGTGCGCCATGAGGTGGAGTTTTATAGTTTTATTCGGCTGTGAGCCATGGTGTTGAGTTTGATACGGCTGTGCGCCATGATGTTGAGTTTGGTACGGCTGTGCGCCATGTTGTTGAGTTTGATATGGCTGTGCGCCATGATGCTGAGTTTGATACGGCTGTGCGCCATGATGTTGAGTTTGATACGGCTGTGCGCCATGATGTTGGGGCATTGTGTATGCCTTTGCATCACCCGAGCATTGTGTATGCTCTGTTACTTATTTGAGGCATTGTGGTGCCGTTGTGGACTCGTAGGTGTGCTGGTAACTTTCTTTCACTACAGTTATGATAAGTCCTTAGTAGGTATCCTTGTTGGTTAATTCTTAATAACTCTGTTGATACACATATATTGAGTTATTGTATAATTATCATATTTACTATATCATTCGTGTTGTAGTGTGTTTGTATTTTCTAACACTTGTTCCAGAGGTATTTAAAGTGGCGGGTCTGGATCTTACTGGGTTATATTTACGTATAACTCACTCCTTACCTGCATCTCTATGCAGATACCGTTGCTAGAGATATCGCTAGTGGCTGACGAGTTTGTTCGAGTGGATCCTATTGCTGAGGTGAGCCACCGCATTGTTCGTGGAGGCTTTCGTTTCAGACTTACTTAGTTCGTGTTAGTTATTTCCTTTTTTTTTTTTGGGGGGGTGGGGGGTGGGGGAGGGGGGTTTGCACACCCGTCAATAAAACTCATATTACTCTGTTAGATGCTCCATGGTCTTAGTGTGGGGGTTTGGGCTAGAGTTTTATTATTTGAGTGATTGTTGATTTTCTATCAATTGACTACGGTATTGGGCGATAATCATTTCCTCTTTAATTATTAATAATACGTTTAGGCCTGCACTTTTTCTCTTAGTGTTTGTGTAAATGGTTAAACGTTAGAGAAAGGGGTTCGCCTGCATGGTGGTGTTAGCTGGGTGTCAGTCACGTCTAAGGGGTAGTTTGGGATGTGACAATTGTCATATAATTAAATAAATTATCCATAGTGAGTTAATATAGTTTGGTGTAAACACCCGGTATGGATAAGTATTTACCATTAGTGGTGTGCCAAGTTCCCACTGTTCGACCATAATTAGCCATTAATGATGTTGATAACTTATATAACTATAAAAATATCACTCAAGTTGACTTTTGGACGAACTGTCGTGTATTTTCTTAAGGGTTGCTAAATTTATATCATTTCCTTATTTCATATGTGACAGCATGTCAAACTAAAACAAAAATCTTTTATTTATTAGGTGTAATCCGTTGGACATAGATCCAATTTTTTACTTTTTTTGGATTAATTGAATTTTTTTTTATCATGTTCTCGGTGGTATCAAAATGCCCGATCTTATCCGTCTCTCTAGGAAAATGAATTTTCCAAGAAAAGATCTTAAGTTCAATTCGTTTTTTTTTTTTTTTCTCCTCTTGAACCAACCCACCAACTCGACTTCTTAGATTTAAGGTAATATGTTTATCTACCCTAACTATATTAGTGTTCTGTATCATTAACAAAAAAAATTAAAAGATAAAATAGTTAAAAAGAAAAAGAAATAATCTATCAAATCAAGCAAAACATTGTATAACGCGATTTCAATTTTATACTTTGTGAAGATCCCATTGCATGCATTATGGTACGATCCTTTACTGATATAATATGTGAATGAAAATAGCGTATATGGATTCTTTTAAGTGTATCACTCTACTCGTTGTATGTACAATATTGAAGAGAATATTAAATTCCGTCTCTCTAAAAGATAGTTTATAATTAAAAAAATCAACAGACTGAATACGTTAAATGATTTATTCCAAAACCGTAGTAGAGTATAAATAATAGGTAGACCAACTCTATGGGCAATCATATACTTTTTCATTAACCATTGTAAAATAAGATAGGACTGGATTAGGATTACACGAACAATTGTAATTTGGTTCATGCGTATATGAGATAATCGGATTATATTACTTTTCAATTAAAAAATATATATGAGATTCATCCGATTGATCACATCAACTTTAAAGACCTATATAAATAAATAATTGAAAAATTACTTTAATGTCTAATAGTATGTTCTTTAGTGTTTGCTTTGAGACTCACAAAACAAATGGTTGGCAACTAGTTTAATTGTTTGGTAAAGGTATATTGCAATCTTGTTTTAACAATTCAAGGATCCAATAATAATGGGTACACATTAAACTGGTGGAAATCATAGAGTCAGCAATTTTGACTTTGCTTCTTAATCAAGTAACACCTACTATAACAAATGCATGTGAATTGAACCATTAATTCAGTGATCATCTTTCTAAATCTTGTATAGAATAGTTGTTTGGAGAAGACTTCTTAGGTCCTATTCTACATATATATTGAAACCAATAATTAGCTTCACATCCTATAAGCTATGTATTCAGGACTCTAGACTAAATTTAACTTGATTTAAGTGACAATAAGGGATAAGTTCTATAGCATTGCTTGCTCTCTCGCCCCCTATTATGGGCTTTGCTACCTTATGGCTTGGCTTTGTCGTTGTAGCCACGGCAGCCGCCATCACCACCACCGGAGTTCCAAAACAACAAGAGAGAGATAGGATCGTAAAGCTTCCGGGGCAGCCAGAAAATGTCACCTTCTCTCAATACTCCGGCTACATCACGGACGATGCGACCGCAGGCCGAGCCTTATTCTACTGGCTGATTGAAGCTCCATCTAGAAAGAAGCCCAATACAAAGCCTCTTGTTTTCTGGCTGAATGGTAGGCCTGGTTGCTCCTTCATTGCATATGGAGCCTCTGAGGAAATTGCAATTGGCCCTTTTCGAGTTAAGTCCGGATGGCAAGACACTCACGCTGAGTCCGTATGCTTGGAATATAGGTAAGATTAGCTTAATTATTTATTTAAACAAACTCTCTTTTGTTAAATTCCACCATTGTTAAGTGGAGAAAGCTCGGACAAGGAATCGGAGAAGAAGAAGCTGTGGAGGAAAAATCAGTTATAACTGCTTTTCTGAAAATTGAGTACTGTACATACACCACTATACACAAATATATAGAGTTCTACTTCTACAACTAACTTCTAACAAATTAATACACTTGTACATATCCTATTGATCACGTGTTTATTTCAACACCCCCTTCAAGCTAGGTGTGATGAAAATGTTTAAAACACCTAGCTTGGACATCAAATGATAGTGTTGAGCAGTTCCTAGTCCTTTGGTGAGCAATTCTGCTTCCTATTCTTCTATTAATACGTATGTAGGGTGTATCAATCCTTGTTGCACATTCTCCCGCACGAAATGGCAATCTATTTCTATATGTTTGGTTCTCTCGTGAAACACTAGGTTAGTGGCTATCTGCATAACTGCTTTGCTGTCCGTGTGAAGTTTAATTGGAGTCGAAATTTTTATTCTCAGTTCTATGAACATTCCCACTAACTAGATTAGCTCAGATATAGTTAAGGCCATACTTCTATACTCAGACTCTGCGGAACTCCTTGCCACTGTGGTCTGCTTCTTGGACTTCCAAGATATCAGTGATCCACCAAACTTCACCAGGTACCCAGTGACTGACTTCCTCGAGTTAGAACAACTTGGCCAATCTGCATCACAATATGCATTAAGAGTCATGTCCCCAACTGCATTCATAAGGATCCCAAGCCCATGCTCATTCTTAACATATCTCACTACTCTGTATGCTGCTTCCAGGTGAGATTGTTTGGGAGCTTGCATAAATTGACTTAGAGTTTGCACACTATACGCGATGTCAGGCCTTGTTAAGGTTAAGTATAGGAGCTTTCCAACTAATCTCTGATAACCGCTCACATCTTTCAGCGTTGGATCACCTTCCAGGTGACAATGCTCATTATACTCAACAGTTGTAAGCCTTTTATTTTGCTCCATTGGTGTGATAGTAGGCTTGGCACCAGCCAATCCTAGTTCTGCTATGAGCTCTAGAGCATATTTCCTCTGACACAGGAGGATTCCCTTTCCAGACCTGCACACTTCAACGCCTAGGAAATATTTCAAGTTTCCTAAGTCCTTGATTTTGAAGGCCTTGTGCAGTGTGGCCTTTGCCTCTTGAATCATTGTAGTGTCACAACATGTGATGAGAATATCATCAACATATACAAGTATGATGACCTGCCTTCCATTTTCTTCTTTAATGAACAAGGAGTGATCATGTTTACTCTGCATGATGCCTACTTGCAAGAGAGCTTCTGTGAGCTTCAAGTTCCATTGTCTTGATGCTTGCTTGAGTCTATAAGGTGAGTTAAGCAATCTGCAGCCCTTAGTATTCCCCCCTTCGCTGCTAAAACCAAGTGGAAACTGCATGTAAACCTCTTCTTCAAGGTTTCCTTGAAGAAATGCATTGTAAACGTCCATTTGAAAAGTGGCCATCGATGCATAGCAGCTAATGCAATAATAGCTCTTACTGTGACCATTTTAACAACTGGAGAAAAGGTCTCTTGATAGTCTAGACCTTCTTGTTGACTGTATCCCTTGGCAACAAGTCTGGCTTTGAATCTCTTAACTTCTCCACTGGACCTGTACTTGATTTTGTACACCCATCTGCATCCAATAGGTACCTTACCTTTTAGAATGTCAACTATCTCCCAAGTGTTGTTCTGAACCAAAGCATCAATTTCTGCCTTCATGGCTTCAACCCACCTTGGGTCATTCATGGCTTTTGTGTATGATGTAGGTTCCATTTCCTGTGAGGTAGCAGCCAAGTAAGACTGATAAGTAGCTGAAACAGCATTACAATTCAGATAGTTGGATATTGGCCCAGTAGGTCCGTAAAATTCACTAGGAGAAGCGGTATTATTGAACCAGACAAACAACAAGCAAAAAATTTGTTGAAAGATGGCATTCAGATCAAAATATTATTTCCTTTTTGTCTGAAACCTTGGCATATATCTAAATTGTACTCCTCCCCCTAATCTGGAAGTTCTTCTCAGATACAAGGAAATGATTCAGTTCCAGAGCTAAAGATCGTAGTTCTCGAACGAGCAATCGAAACGATTCTGGACCATCTTCAGGATTAGGTATTTTTCCTCCAATGATTGTAGTACCGGGGTTTTTCTTGGTTGAATACAGAAAAAGAGGACTACCTTTTTCGTGTTGTGCTTCGCTAGGTCGAGCCGCCAGATACATCCGCCAAGGTTTCATGATTACCCTGTCCCACACAAATCGTTTGCCGGTAACTTTTCAATACCCCTACCGACGTCCACCATAGGCTCGGCGAGCTGTCCTCCTAGATTTTCCGAAGGAATCGATTAAAACCTCAGATTCATACTAGAACCACGATGGTTCAATAAAAAAACCTAACCTATATCAAATCAAGGATTCCCAAATTTATCCCGACGGTAGCAAGAGTAACAATACTGTTTATAATGCTACAACAGTACGTATATTAAGTAAAATCATACGAAAAGAAAAAGGTGGATACGAGATAACCATATCGCTCGTTGAGACCTAATTCGATCTTCATAGAGTTCTCGAGATATTTCCTTACAAAGTTTTGTTATAGCGTCTATAACCGCTTCCGGTTTAGGTGGGCGACCCACTCGTTACCAATGGGATCAGGGGTACTTCCAGCAAGAAATATATCGAAGAGTTAGTGCTAGGCTAGCAGAAAATCAAAGTTTATCAGAAGTCCTTATCTCGTATTACGAATGAATCAAATGAAAGTGAAAGAAATCAAATTTCACACCTTTTTCCTTTTCTGACGGACCAATCATATGTGCAAGTTGATGAGGATGCCCCCATTAGTGGGCATACATAATATTTCATCCAAATAGGTGGTTTGGAACCTCTATTGGATCTCCTGAGTTGTGCAGCTTGAACTTTCTCAGCAGCTTCAACAATTGGTACCTGCCCATTATGATCTTGATCAACTTCTATGAGGTTTTTCCCCTGTTGCACCAACTCCTGATCATGCACAACATCCTGGTTGATAGCATGTCCTTTTCTGGAATGTGAGGTTGTTGTTGATATAAAGGATGACTTTCTTCCTCCTTTTGTTTCAGCTCTAAGAACACATGAGTTGTGTTCCATCCTTTGCCAGTTGGAAAGGAAAAATGTCTTCCTTAAAAGTGACATCTCTACTAACAAAGAACCTTATGCTCCTTAAGTCATACAACTTGTATCCCTTCTGAGATACTAAATATCCTATGTGGACTGCAGTGATGGCCCTAGGAGAGAACTTGTCCACTTTTTCTGTTACTGTGGCAAAACACAAGCATCCAATAGTCCTTTGATGTGTCATACTAGGTGATCTTTTATGAAAGACCTCATATGGAGATTTCCTTGCTAGGATTGAAGAAAGCAATCGATTGATGAGATATGCTGCAGCCAGTACACAATCTCCCCAGAACTGTAAGGGAATGCTGCCTTGAAATCTCAAAGCCCTTGCCACCTCCAGGACATGTTTGTGCCTTCTCTCCACTCTGTTGTGGAGTATGTGGACAACTGCTTTGATGTAGAATACCATTATTTGTCGAATAATCCCTGCATTCATGGCTAAAAAACTCTGCACCATTGTCAGTTCTCAGCACTTTCACATTCTTTCCAAACTGCGTATATACCATTTCAAGAAAAAGACTTCAACACAACAATAGTATCACTTTTCAATTTCATTAAGAAAATCCAAATCATCTTAGAATGATCATCAACAAGATTCAGAAAGTATCTATTTCCATTGTATGTAGGTACTTTATATGGACCCCAAATATCCACACGAATCAAATAAAAAATGTCTTCAGCTCTACTGCTACTTAAAGGAAATGGTTTCTTTGTTTGTCTAGATAAAGGACATATAGTACAATTATTGAGCTCACAATCAGAAAATTTCTTATTCCTAAGGAAATCTAACTACTTCATGACTCTAACGGCACATGTCCAAGTCTCTTATGCCAAGTAGTGAAGTCTGCCTGCATTCCTTCCACAAGACAACTGCTGATCCTTTGTGCCATTTTGTTCTTGTTAGACCCTTTTGGGATCAGGAGATAAAGGCCACCCTATTCCTTACCAATCCCCTTCACTCTCCTAGTGTATAGGTCCTGAAAGACACAAAATGTTGGGAAGAAATTAACTGAGCATTGCAGCTCCTTAGTCAATTTTGACAAAGACAACAGGTTGTACTTAAAATCAGGAACACATAATACATCATGTATTACATCATTGTTTATAAGATTGTAACTCCCTTTACAGATGACAGGTATAGTCTTACCATTTGGTAGATTCATATTACCTCTCTTTGAATTAGGTAAACCAGTCATTGTTTTCAACATTTCACTATTAGATGCCATGTGGTCAGTCGCACCCGTATCTACAATCCAGAAATCAGCTAAGTTCTCTAGTGATTATGAATTAGCATTACCTACTATCAGCATTATCCTCATTTGCAGCAACACCTTTACCAGAGTTGTTATCACTTACAACCATGTTAGCTTGCCTATACTGTTGTGGTCTCTTCCCCTTGAAGCCAGATGGATATCCAGCCAACTTGTAACAAGTTTTCTTTGTGTGACCTTTGTTTCGACAATACTCACAATACAAATTATTGAACCTAAACTTTGGTGGATTATCTCTAAAACTTATAAGAGCTGTGGAATCATTCACTTCATTTGTCACATTAATATATGAATTAGTCTCAAACACTCTTCTTTGATTTTCTTCATTTATTAGCATTGCATAGGCACAACTAACGGAAGGTGATGGGGATTGAAGTAAAATTTGACTTCTGATTGCATTATAGGATTCATTTAGACCCACTAAAAATTGAAAAAGTTTCTGCTGCTCCAACTGTTCGATGAAATCCCTGGTCCCAACCGTAACAGGAAGTGAAGGTATCATGGAATTATATTCATCCCAAAGTGATTACAATCTAGAATGATATACTAAGATGCTAGATGTACCTTGAGAAATGGTAGCTATCTCTCGTTGAAGATTGTAAATCCAAGATCCATTGGCTTTGTCAAATCGATCCTGCAAATCTAGCCAAACTTCATGAGCATCATTAGCATATACAATTCTAGTTACCAATTCTGGTGATACCGTATTCATAATCCATTTCAGTACAGTAGCATTCGCTCGCTCCCATTCTTCCCCTAAATCAGTAGTGAATTGTGCTTTTGTACAGCTCCCATCGATGTACCCTAGTATGCGCTTTGCTCGCAATGCAATCACCATCGCCTTGCTCCAAACTGAATAATTCTCAGTTCCTTTCAGCTGTATCGATATGATGACATTGCCAGGATTATCAGAAGGCTGTAAATACAGAGGATGACGAGAATTATCAATGTCCAGATTTGCCATGGCTGATCTTCAGAAAAACAAATTCAAGTTCGTATTGATAGTTTCAGAAATTGAATTAGTTGATTAATCCCTAGCTTCGATCGATCTACTCGAGCTCTGATACCATGTTAAATTCCACTATTGTTGAGTGGAGAAAGCTCAGACAAGGAATCGAAGAAGAAGAAGTTGTGGAGGGAAATCAGTTATAACTGCTTTTCTGAAAATTGAGTACTGTGAGACGCAACAAGGGTGTCAAAAATCCAATAATAAATTTCAAAGGATACCTCGTAAGCGAGATATTCATCTTGTTTTTCTTCATCTATTCCTTTCCAATAATTTAAAAAAAAAATAAGGAAAGAAGAGGAGCCAATTCGATGATTCATGTGCAGCTAGGAAATCCATTAATCGATGATTATAACGATAATTTGGGGACAATTGAGTACTGGTGGAACCACGGGTTGATCTCAGATTCTACATACTCGGCGACTGAAAAAGAGCTGCCTTCTTCGCGATGATAAATCGTTTTTGTTCCCCGCTAGAGAATGTAACAGCGCACTCATGGGGGCATACTCGGAATCTGGAAACATCGATCCATACTCCATTTATGACACTTCTTGTACAAATGTTGCAACTCACAACATTAAAAATAATACTCCCTCCGATCCACAATAAGTGACCAATTTATTTTTTTATTTTTGTCCAAATAAGTGTCCATTTATATAATCAAGAAAGAATTCAATTTGTTTTTACAAAATTACCCTTATGTACATATCCCTAAAAAGTTTTCT